TTCCCACCTGGCTCATCACCCAGCTGGAGGTTGGAAGCGTGCGCAGTGCAGAGACCATGGACATGGTGAACCGCTTTGTCCAGCGCTTCTTGGTCCTGTTTGAAGTGATCCGAAAACCGTCGACTGTGAGCTTGCTGGATCGTTCTAAGATTCTAAGGGGTCCTGTTTTTTTGGTTTTCAGTATTTTCTGCGTTTACACAATAAATCTTCAAAGGATCTCGACAGGCACCATCTCCCTCAAAGTAGTTTGAAGATCTATAATAGATCTTCAAACTACTTTGAGGGAGATGGTGCCTGTCGACCTCCTTTGGAAGCCTTTGTCGGTGTCACGCCGACTTGCTGTCGCGGTGTCGGTTGGAGGCTGCTGTCGGTGTGGACCTGCCCGGAACTAGTCTTGGAAGTGGTAAGTAGCGGACAACAGAGGTTCCATCAAGTTGACTATGGGGTGTCTCTCCCAGGGCCAATTCCCCACCCGCATCCAAAAGAAAGATCTTCAGAAAGGGGTCAAAAAGCAAGCGAAAGAAAGAAGGGGCAAGTGAAAGATGTTCAACGATCATCTCAAATTCAGCTTCAGCAACTGAGTTCTCAGATGCTTCGTGGCATGTTCATGGCCACCCAGGCTTTTCTGGCGCTGAAGGCGGAGAGGCAGGGTGGGGTTCAAAAACTGGAGACTCTTGGACTGTCGGCCCAAGCACTATGGTTGGCGGAATGAACGGTTTTTGTACCAGAATTTTATAGAGATTTGAATTTGAATACATGACAATACAATACATGTATTTAGTGTTTGCCAAGATGTTAGACAAGCACGATGGCTTCTTGGATGATGTGGAGGAGCAGAAAGATGACTCAAGCCCTGAACAAAGCCACAAATACCATTTATATGCTTCTATGGATGTTTGAACAGAAGGGCCACCGCATGGGGGGGCCGCTTTTGGGGTGGCGTCATAATGTGGTGTGTTTGTGGGGTGGCGAGCTGATGGACCAAAGGCCCGGAACGATCCTGTCTCAGGTGCGAGGAACCGACGCACCCGGAGGCCGCCGATCTCAAACGACCAGAACGGCTGGGCTGGGTGTTGTGCTGCCAAGTACTATGTTGTGTGGATAAAAGCGAAACATGGCCAAGTACCAAATAATAAGTGGGAACATCTAAGAACCGTGGCACTGACGGTGATCATTCTGATCAATTCTGTGGGTTTGGTGAAACATGAATTCGATACCCTGTAGTATAATGTAGTATACACTTCAATGGTCAACATGTTTGCTAAGTTCCTAAATAAGAGCTGCTAAATATTGAATCTGTTTAAGCAACACTCCACTTGTTGTTTTGTTTGTTCGAAGATACCAGTCCGATCCGGTCCTTTTTATAGGGCTTCGAGGTCGCATAATCACTGGTTCTTCACTTCGATCTCTTTAGGTCTTCCATTGTCTTTGCTTGCTGGCTAGTTGTGACCAATGTTCCATCTTCGACGTCGTTTTTTTGGCATTGCTCCACTCCTGTTTTGAATGCTGAAGCATAGCTTTAACCGTGAGAGATTCTTTAGGTCCCCAGGTAGTAGTGAAGTGTAGATGCAAAGTGAGTCCTTTCTGCACACCGCTCGATGTGAAATCATCATACACGGGAGGTGTTTGTGTTGTTGTTTTTCCAAAATCAGACACCTCGAAAAAAGGCAGATGACTGGGCGTCCTTAATATCCTTAATCAGCATCGTCCGTGATGTTTTGCCGCTGGATGAAAGTTGATGTCGTGGAACAAGTAGGGCTGCTGGCCTACCTCGATTCGAAGGTGGTCAGGGTGGGTGCCAGGGGGGTCTAACCACCGAACGTGAGGATATGGATATGGGCCAGGAGCCCTATAGGGATTGTCGGACCATGTGAGGTGTCGGACCATGGTGCTTTGATTCCAAGGGCTGAGGCTTTCGGCCCTTGGCCAGAATGATTTGTCAAATTTGTGATGTAAAGTCTCTTGTGGCGGTGTGAAGTCTATGTGCATCGTGCTTAAGTTTAGTGTGATGAGGTAATGTGATGCGGTGACCTGATGTGATGACCTGATGTGATGTGGTGACCTGATACCTGATGTAGCAGCTGTCACACCAGGCCTGCCACCCCAGCCCTAGAGTCCCTTTGCCTCCGGTTTTCATGCAGGGCTTCCACGGCCCAGCTCAGCGAAGTGCGAAGTCTCAGTTCGTTTGTTTTTTGGGGGGCAGGAAGGATGGGACGTGCCTGAAGGACCCAAAAATATACCCAAAAATATGTTTCATATATATCATGTAGTTTTTTTCAGTACAGTACATGAATACCATGAAAAAGACCGAGGTGCTCACAGGTGTTCACCTCAACAAGCCATTTTCTTCGGTGACGAACAGAGTGCTTACAAGTTCATGTTTGCCTTCTGAAAGGCATGGGGCCATTTTGTGTTTCGTTTCAAAGGTGAAACTGCAATGGTCGGATGGTAGTGCATAGATGTCCTGCTGTAGAAGATGCATGAGTATCATCCGCAGAGGGCTTATGCATTCTGGATTTTGTCGTTGGATGGTGTTCGGGGTCGCTGTCGCTCGGGGCGATTAGAGGTCTGTCGGCGGACATGTTGTCGCTGCCAGCCTGTATACCCCAAATCGAACCCTTAGAAAAACAAAAACCCTTCAACCCCAATACCCTCAAGGTTGTTTGCAGAGTATCAAGTGACAGGAATTTGATGTATCTGTGTGTGTGTGTGTGTCAAGTCCTGTCCCTATGGACCTCTGACACCAGTAACTCGATTTTCCAACTAAATTTTGTATAAACCAGCAGGGGGATGCCCCGCACCTGAAGAGAGGGCATCTAACAAAGAGGCTCTTCGGGCTGTGCTGATATCAGCAAGGACGCTTGCTGACGTACCTGCATTATCGCTGGTTTTAACTGTTGACAAAGCTGTGACTCCTCTCTTCGAGTAAAGCGCTAATGAGTCCTTGTTGAAACCTTCTGTTGAGCCGACTCTTCACTTTTGCAGTTCTGCAAGTCAAGCGCTACGTATTCACCTAGAGTGCTAATCTCACGGGAGTTTCCAAACTCATAGAGCTCTTGCGAGCCTGGATCTAAGCGTGTGTGTGTGTGTGTCAACCCCTGGGCCAAGGGTTCACCACCACCACCTTCTCCACCACAATTTTATACGCAGGGGGCACCTGGAGCAGAGATAGGGCAGGTGCCAACGAAGACACCTATCTCTTGCTCGTGATATCGACGGGAGACGTCCTGTCGACGTACCTGCGACTAACGTTTGCACAAGCTGTGACTCCACCGTTCTCGGTTTGATTCATGGTTCTTTCACGATACCTTCCCTTCAAACAGGTTTCCCACAGCTGCTTTCAGCCGCCGACTTTCAGCCGCGTTTCTGCAGACAAGTGAACATGTTGTTCAACAATTCAGTTGCGCTGACCCTTTCACCTTGCGTTTCCCTCATTCCTTTTGACCTGGGAACTGAGTTAACTGAATACAATTGTCAGAGTGTGTTTCGCTCAGCCGTCCCACTCGGGTGCTGAGTGTGATCCCCGTCATTGGGGCGCTGTCTCATCGTGCAAGCAGTAACTGACCTCACCACCTTTCACAGGAACTCCACTGGAAGTCACCTCCACGTCCACCGAATTAACTGCCACAACGGCCGCCGGGCCTAAACACGGGAACTGACAGTGTTGCAGCGTTTGCATTTTTCTGCATGCTTTTCCGCACGATCTTGCATATGTACTCAAGCAATCTGACATGAGTTTCCAACAGTTTAATTCGACCTTTCCACCTTCAAGCGCTGAAGCTGCTGCCACCGAGCTAGTGAAGCTGTACGTCCAAAAAGGACACAACGAAACTGCTTGCAGCCGATTTTTGAAAAGAAAAAGCGCCGATCACGGCAATCTGTGTGTGTCAACCCCTGGGCCAAGGGTTCACCACCACCACCTTCTCCACCACAATTTTATACGCAGGGGGCACCTGGAGCAGAGATAGGGCAGGTGCCAACGAAGACACCTATCTCTTGCTCGTGATATCGACGGGAGACGTCCTGTCGACGTACCTGCGACTAACGTTTGCACAAGCTGTGACTCCACTGTTCTCGGTTTGATTCATGGTTCTTTCACGATACCTTCCCCTCAAACAGGTTTCCCACAGCTGCTTTCAGCCGCCGACTTTCAGCCGCGTTTCTGCAGACAAGTGAACATGTTGTTCAACAATTCAGTTGCGCTGACCCTTTCACCTTGCGTTTCCCTCATTCCTTTTGACCTGGGAACTGAGTTAACTGAATACAATTGTCAGAGTGTGTACGAGGTGATTTTGCACGAGACGTGTGTCCCTGACCATCAGGTGATTGAAATCCCAAGTCTCGGAAATACGATTGGGCTCCCCACATTTCCACCATGTCCCTCCACGCTAGGAATGTGGGGTGTCATTTGATGTCACTTGTATGTATACAGTGGAAAGAGCACCACGCTCGAATCAACATGCGTGTGCCTTCTGAGTTGGCCGGAGGTGACTTAGTCCCTGAACAGGTCACTCAGACACTCCAACGAGGTCACTTAAATAAGGTCCCAGCGGAGTGTTTGTGTGTTTTCAGGGCACGGTCTTTTGGCTCAACGACCCATCCATCACAACACATCAGCATCGACGGAGGTTCTGCGCCATGTCCGCGCTGAGGTTCTGTTGCCCTCAAGATCCCCACGCCGTGTGCTTTTCTGTAGCTGTTTACCCTAAACTTCCTAAACAGTATTGACCAAATCCTAATAGGACTCCTCCAACGATTTCCACATATTTCCGGCTTAAAACGCCCGCACCGGATTCCATTCCCGCTCCAAGAACACCCATCGACACCCATCAACCTGAGATTCAGCCGTTTTTTCGTCCCAGGCCTCCGCGGCCAGCGGCCTCCGCGGACGCATCCAAAGTGATGCCGCGGAGTCCGTCAGACACATGGGTCCAAAATGTCCCCGCATGGAAGCACGGTGTGGGTGGGATCTTTACAGCATGAGAGTCAGCATGAGATGTGTCATTCCTTTTCAGAGGCATCAAACAGGTGTTTACTAATTCCTTTTGTTTGTTGCTACTGTAGACTGTTCGAATCTTTAGACCTCTTGTTTTTCAAAAAATCAAGAAAAATGGCCCGGCCTTTACACATTCGACTAGTGTTGTTTATGTCCATGCCGCTGCTGTCCGGACATGGACATGCTGGGCACCACACATTTTGCTACCCTTTGAGTCACTAACATGGGGAGGGGAACATGTTTCCCTGGTGTTTCCTCCTTTCAACAAGGAGTGCCATCCACTTAGTGGTACATGCTCAAAACATGTGTTATGTGAGTTATGTGTTCCGTGTCGCCGTGCCACCTACCTCCATTTCTACCTCGACACCCCGTGAACTCACCGCCTCACCGCCTCACTGCCTCACCGCCCTCGGCTCCAGCGCCCTCCCCGCTGTCGTCGCCACAAACGCGCCGGAGACGCTCCCGCAGAGTCGAGTCTTCCTCGATCGGCCATGCGGGACGAGGTGACTCGGTGACGGAAAGGTGCTTGGTCAAAGTCTAGTCGAAGGGCTTTCCAAGAATGAATTGATTACAGTAATGATCTCTGTGAACATAAACACTCTGAAATGGAGGCTATGTCCACAGATTTGGGCTTCTAAAGTGGGCTGCGCTGACCTACCCCTCGAATCTGCATGGGGATGATTAATGTATACCTTGCATAGGTGTGATGTTTGATTTGATATGAGTCTGGCCTAAAAAGATGGACACGCCGTCGTAGACTGTCGTAGATGCGCCATGAATTTCGCTTGGAGGGTATCAATCGAAGTGAAACACCGTCTATATAACTGCTGCAGACCAAATGAAACGTTGTGCAGATTGCGGGAGCGTGGCTTGACCCGAAAGACTTCATAAATATCAAACAAAGGGATTCACTTGTGAGTTGTGAGTTTCTATTTTTTGGTGAGAGCCGGGCTGGCTACCACAGCCCAGACCAAATATGGCTGCTTCAAAGATGTTCAAAGCTTTCTGGTGGGTGACTGGAGGTTCATCCATCGATGGCCGCAAATACGGACTTGCTTGGTGGATAAAACATGATCAACAAAATATTGATTTTTGAGGTGATCCCGGTGAACGACCATTGGTATATAATTGTATCATTATTATATCGATCTATTATTATAGCCGCGTTTAGATAGCGACCGCCCAACCCGCAGTTCTTTTTGGCTAAAAGGATATCATTGGGTTCAACATGGCTCAACTACTTCCTCAGAAGGTTTGTGACTGGTAGGAACCAACAGAGGTTGAAGGACCCTATAGACATCTATATAGACTATCCCATAGGAACCCCAGTAGGGTCCTTCAAGGTCACCTCTCCTGGAAATGGTTCCAAGGTGTGCTGGACTCAAAACGCTGCGGCGTGAAGAACGCACCTGCCACTTCCTGCCAGGTACCCACGTGGAGCACGACAGGAAGTGACAGCTTTGAGGAGGCCGCCTTTAGGGCCAGGAAGCGCGGTGAAACGCCGCCAGGACAGATACACCAGAAAATTCACTCAAACTTCAGCCCATGTGCAAGTATCTTCTCTTGGATTACGGAGCCTGGACACGGTTTCGTTTTGACACCGCCCACGTCGGCCAGTGATTTGGACGACAGGTCTCGACGTCGGCCGCACAGGCCACCTTGCCGAGCAAGGAGGTCGAAGGTCCAGCGAAGGAGGACTGCAGTCCGCAGAAGGTCGGACGACGGTTGGGGGGGGATTCGTTCACCCTTTGACGACCGAGGTAGGACGTGGTGGAAGGTCTATCCAGTCGAAGGAAATAACGGCAAAAGACATGGCAAAGACATGCAAAGACTCTCAGGACGGTCCCTAGTATATCGTTATATAGATTTTATAATGGTTCTATTGGGCTTTGTCGTTGTCTATCTTCCCAACTTGATATCAAAAAATATAGAATCACTAGCAGTAGCAGCACCCTCCTCCCCATCGTGGAGCCTGTTGCTTCAAGGCCAGTCCCCGTTCCACTGCGTCACCAGCAGAAAACGCTAGCATGCCCTTTTGGTACAGATCCCTTGTGGTCCAAACAGTACGCCATTTTAATCCAAATGTTGTAAGATACAGACCTTGACTCACTAACAATGGAAGTGGAAAATGATGGACATGGCACCCTTGGAAGACTGCTTTCTTTGATGAACAGGGGACGCGTCATGTACACGTCATGTACACGAGTGACGTCACGTGTTGTTTTATCAAAAAACGTATGGAGGGTGTGAAGCGAAGCCACCAGTGTGTGTTCCCCACCGAACCTACGGTGATCGAAGATGGAAGCGAAGCCACCAGAGGTTGCAAGGTGCGACGCAGAATGACCCGCATGTGCCCTGGATATTCTTTCTGGATTCGCTTGGCACATGGGGCTTTCCTGGACTTCCTGCGAGTCTCGATGCTTCGGAGCTAGGATGGTTTGGGTCTTCGCTACCAGGACCCCCCCAAGCGCAAGACGAGCTCGCGCGGCTTCCGGATCCGTGCCAGCGACCCTTGGAGTGGATGGGTGGTCCAAGTCGATCTGATCTATGTGTACCCTACGACCAGGACCTTCCAAGTTCGGCTTTTGGACAGCCCTAGGAGGCCATTCCTTCTTCAGAAGTCATCCTATATATATATATCTATATATACCTTCACCAACCATAACCTTTAAAAATATAGGTTTCAATGAAAACCCGATGTTTGCAGACAAAACCCGATGTTTTGATTTTTGAGGGTTTTTGAGAATCCGCCCATCCTCAGCCACGCGCCTCAAAGACGTTTGCGAACTTTTCTTCACCCATGCGACCCTGCGGTGAACTATGCTATCTGATGGATCCTTGGCTTGATACCGGAGGGAAGTGGTTTCCGGATACTTTCAGTTCATTAAGTTGTAAACGATGCAGCTCAACTCCTTCAACCCCCTCACCGGATCAAGTATTTAGCTTTGATGAAGTGATGGTACGCGCTTTGCAAGTACCGATCCATAATTCGGTGCAACACAGGCGTTTGGGCCGTTACACGACGACTCAGCCTCGCAGGTCTTCCGATAAAGTCTTCGGAAGGCTGACAGGAAGTACCCAAAGGGTTGACCCCGCATACCCCACGCTGATGTGCTTGGTGGAGGTCAACCATAAAATGATGAAGGAGGTGTATCTTGGGTTGAAAAATGAACAAACACCGGCGCATTTGTTTGGCCATTGTAGCCATTTGGGAATACCGTCTTAGAAAAAGGAAACCAAGCTCTGCCACAAGCTTGCACTCCCCAGGCTCCAGCCACAGGCTTGAACGGTAAAGCAACCTGCTGCACCTTTGGATGGCATGGCATGCTTCGGCTGCCAAGCCAAGCAAAGGTTGATGGGGGAAGCTGTCACGGTTGAAACGCGCTTCCACGTATTCCATGAGCACCGTGCTCAGGGCACCTTTGTGCCAGGATCCGGTCGGATAAGTGCTTGTGGTTTCCCAAGAGATCGATTCCTTCGAGATTTTTGATACAAAGGCTCTTCTCGAATTACGATGGCACCATGACTTGAAGTCCTGACTGAGTGCAGCAAAACGCTCATCGATTTGTCCATGTGCTTCCTCTTCGCTGAGTAGTGCAAGGACGGATCCTAGATAATGCTTGAGCACTCCGAGATGCATGGCGTGAAACCAATCGTAGCACCAAATGCTCGCCTCCTTTCCTGGCTCGTGTAAAAGGTGTGTCGCAAACGGAGACGGCGTCAAAAATGGGTTCTGAACATGTTCCGTTGCAGCCCAAGTAGGGCGACGAGTCTCAATTTGTTCAAACGGGCACTGTGTTTGTCCCGCTTGGCAGCGATGACAAATGCCAACAGGTGGTGTCCGAACTGTGACCCGCTTCTGTATATTGTTGAACGACCTTGAGAATCCAGCGCATTTGTGTAGAAATGGCCAATCGCCAATTATACCAACGACAACTCCCCAAAAACGTCCGCCCTGCGGGTTTGCAACGCCGACTTCCCACATGAAACGTGCTTCCTCAGCAACCGATTCCATGAGGAGCTGCCACGTCTCAGCATGTTCATCGGAATAATCTCGCTTTCGCAGGCTTGTGATCAGGAACCTGTTCGTGAAGGTATGGCCCTCAAAGTTAACCTCCATTCTTGCCCAAGAATTTTTCAAGCCACGACCACGACTAGATTGATTTGCTTTTGCAAAGCCCCGCCCAAGCATGCTGTGGAATGAAAATACAAAATGGGCGCCATGGCGCCGTCCACGCCCCTCGTCCCCGTGCAACAGCAATGGGATGGCCCGTTTCAAGACCAGCGTTCCCAATGACGCCTGCTGAAAGATTTGGTGATTTGGATATAGCCTGGCAAAGTTTCGCCAGAAGGCACTGAGTATTGACTCCTCCCTCGATGCGTGCTGCTTCTGCAGCCCATGCAATATGTGCATGCAAGAGTTGGATGCCAAGAACTCAAACCAATCTCGGATTCTAAGGATGGGAATGTGCGGAAACTTTCCCAATTGAGACCTTTTCACTCCCAGCGACAGTTCGTACTTGTTCACTAGGACACGGCGGCAATCCCTTTCCGGATTTGCGCTGCTGCAGCGCGCTATATCCAACAAACCACCTGATGTTTGCGCAGCCTTTGCGCCTACATCAGCCACAAAGTCACGAGCTGCAGCGATGGCAGAGGTGCATGAGGCCTTGGCCGGCCAACCGGTTAAATTTACCAAAGAACGTCCGACCTATAGAACCTAAGTCCCACGAGTTCGTCTCACATGGAAATTAGCAAGCGCCCTGAGAGTGCAAGAGCGTTGAACTAGAACTCAAAGTTAAGTTGTAGCTTTTTCAAAACTTCTGTGCAAATGCAAAGTTCCATGGCTGCCCGTGTTTGGTTCACACGCAGCGTCGAATTGTTTGTACTCAATTGATCTTAATTGACCTAACCCGTATTGGCTCTGATGGCCTGACCGGGGGAGGGTGCTTAAAAGACCTGTACACAACATATGTGCTGCACTGGCTGTCATCCGAGGAGTTGGATGGCATCATCACACTGTCACCGTCGGCTTTGATGTTCCTGCAGCCAGGCTTACCTGAGCGAAGGGATGCGGTGCTCTAAGGGGTTTTTAGTGCCGAGGGACCATCCATTTACAAAGCCCCAAAGGGGACTGCTTCATTTGTTGATAAAAGATAGAAAACATGCACTGAAACTTGGACCAGGTGCCTCGAAACATGTCGATCAAACAAGCTTCTAACATTGCAGGCCCCGAAGCTTCCGTAGATTCGAACAGGACTACCATGTTGGACCACTTGTCCGGGTCGAACTTGTACCCGTAGATGGTGTTGGACCAGCGCCACAACGGATTGTGGCTGTAACCAATTTGGAAAATCATCGGTTGGTTCTTCTGGAACAGAGTCAGCATCACAGATTTGGCATGTTGGAGAACCCTACCAGCCGTGACGCCTGGGGGCGGGAGCTTGTAGTCTAGAAATGCCAAGTCATCACACGGGCTATCGAAGCGAACACTTGATGGTGTTGTAGCCGAACCAGTTGGTGAAGACGATCTTGACATGCAGTGTGTTTGTTTGGAAGATAGCTTGTTCCCTGCGAACATGGAACTTTGTTCTTCCCAACAGCTCATGCAATTCCCACGATGCACCGCCTTCCCAGGCCCAGTGTCAGAAGGACTTCCTGGTGATTGGCCTCCGCCTCTTGTCCATGGAAAGGGTTGCAAGCTGTCCTTGAATTCAAGCGGGGTGGAACTGGGAGGGTTGAACAGGTTCGTGGAACATGACATTGAAGGCAGTTGAAGCCAAGACTCTGTCCGATGACACGTAAGTAGGTCCCAGAGTTCATCATACACACTTTCATTGCTGTCATCGCCCATGATGGGGCCAGGTTTGCAATTAACAAAGGAGCTTGAACAAAAAAAACGGCAATGCTCAAAGGTCTTGCAAACCACTCCCATGCACCAAGCTGTCAGTGTCCACCGAAGAGTTTTGAGCGCTGGACTCCATCACCAATCCTTTTCGAGAAGCCTTTGACAACGTTGCCCGGCTTCGGACCTGGCCAACGCAACCCAACTCAGTACGACAGAACGAACCGATTCTGTCAAGCTCAAAGTGGAAGGCTGTGACTCTCCCTTGCAGCACGGCAGGCCGCAGCATGTCAGGTGTATTTTTGGCTGTGCGTAGCTCGAATACCCCGCTAATTGAACTTGAAAGGTTCCAGCTTTCAACCACCACCTGTCAAAATGATTGTGGTTCCACAATCTTCGTACCCGCTGGAAAGAAAATGCATACAGCGTGTTCAGTTGCTCCCAGAGTCGGAAACCACTTTTTCGATCAACATATATAATCAAAACGAGACAAACATGAATGATGAGGAACGAAAGCAGAGCAACACGCTGCCTCTTGCTAAAATGGCAGGCCCTCACTTGCGAGCGCGCTTGGACTCAGGTTCTTCCGGTACATCTGTTCCTTTCCCTTTCTTTTCCTTCTTGGTTGTTTTTCCAGGTTTTGCTTTCTTTTCCTTCTTTTCCTTCTTGTCCTTCTTGCCATTTGTGTCCGTGCCATCGATCTTGTCATAGTACTTCTTTTGGCTCCTGGAGCACTTTGAGTCGGGCATGTTTGGGGACTTGGAATGCAATTCTTCCAAGAGAGGTCAAGAGGGCACATGATACAGACGGTAAGCAAAAGCATGCAACTCAGGTTTGTTCGAGATGCGGCTGCTCCTGATCCTGATTTCTGCCGCAGCTGCTTTGGAGCACCTCGTTCGTGCGAGAGGCTAGGCCGTCGGCTATAGGCCAGAAATGTTAGTGGTCCACTTTGTATGTGGTCAGAGAAACAAAGACAGGCACCAAGAAAAGGACTAATAAGGACGTTCCTGATTGAGTGACTGACCGAACACTCCCCCCCGGTGACATCTTGGAGTCCACACGCCATTGTTGCAGTTTTCATTTTGCCCTCAGCAGCAGTGTAGAACCTTGGTGATAAAGGACCTACATGGTACCACTCACACAACCAAAGAACTCTTCCAAGTGTAGGAGTCCTTTTCGGCAAGGAACGACTCCGTGAAGAAGCCATGAGCCTCCCCCGTAACCCAAACATCCTGACAGCCATCAAACTCCTTGTCCAGGCTCACCACCTCCTTGTTCAAGATCTCGACTGACCTGGGCCAACGATCCGTTTGACGCCTATATCGACGCTCCGCTGCACACGAAAGGATTTAGGGTGGCTGCTTGGAGGCTTGCTCATCGCTGCCATACTTTGTTTTGAGTTCTCTGATCAACGATCGCAACTTCCCTGTTTTGCTCATGAGGCTGTCCATGAATTTCTTGAACCGATCTTTCGTCTGGCAGGGACAGATGGTAGAAACATTCAGTCAAATTACCAGATACTGAATGAACAGTGCATTCTGTTTCTATATGTTTTGTACCTGACCTGCCCATACTTGTTCTCGGCATTGGGGCCAAGATCAGCTGCTTTGGTGACCTCGGCCTTACGCCGACCATCCATATCAGCCAAGCCTTTGAACTTGT